TCAAGTCAAGGAACATAAGTATGGCACTTTCCATTTCCATCATTCGCCTTTTTTTTTCTTATGTTTAACTCCTCATAGTTTCTTTCCCCGATTTAAGCACCACCTTCTTTTTGTTCGACAAATGTTCTCAAAGAAGCTAGAACTCATGAGCCACTTCAAATTAGAAAGAAAGTTGAACAAGTGAGTTGTTTTACCATGTACATTGTTTTAAATGGTGTATATTGCCTATTTCTTTCAATTTTCATTTAGATTTGTTGAAATTATGTGATTTACTAATTCATGTATATGTTGTTTTGGCTATTCAAGTGTATCCTAAGGTGAAAGTGAGGGAACTAGAACGCGATGATGTAGCTATTACTCTGCAAGATGATACCAATTCCTTGTCTTTGTGAAGGCAAACAATCACCCTGGTCACTATGATCCCCTTTGTGAGGAGCCACCCCTCTCCTGAACCACCCCAAGTATTTAATTGCATCAATGGGTTAAAGTTACAAATTTTTTTACCTTTTCTCTTTCTGAAATGGGTTATTTGTAATGCCCTTGCCTTCATTAGTAATGATAGAAACATGCTTATCTTTAAAATACCATATACAGGCTACTTGATCTTGGTATTCACCTCTTCTTTTAAAACGTTTCTCATTCAAATTCTGAGAAGTGGAATGCCACTTGATCCATCATTGGTTGCACTGGTTGATTTAGTGAGTTAGGTGGGTGCTTTTTTTTTTTTTGAGCTTCAAGTGAGACGTGCTTAACTACAAGTATCTTCTGCAGTGAAAGATACTCAAAACGATTCTCCACCATAGGTTGCCAGAATTTCAGAAACTTATGTCCCAAAGTTGGTGATGCCACCAATTCCTTTCGTTAATGGTCAAATTTTTAATCTAACTTGATTTTGGTCCCCTAATCTCATTGGCTTTTTTATTTAGTGGAGGGTTCATGTGATTGATCTAAGGTGGTGCTTTTTTGTTTGGATATTTTTTGTGTATACAGCCTCAATGATTCTAGAATGTGAAGTATTGACTCGCAGGAAGAACCCTTATAATCCTGCTAATGGGTTGATTACATTTCTTGGCTATCATCTGTGTTGTTTTAACATGCAGGCATGCATTAAAGATGCATATGCTATTATGGGCAATGGACAATGCTGGCCATGCAATTCTTAATTCGTTGCAACTTAAATATTATGGAAAATACTTGCATCAGGTACAATTTGAATTATTATTCTTTTTTGGAAATAATGTCTACCAAAGCCTAATGTTACTACCAATTGATTAAGTAGAACTTTGTTTGCGTGCGTAATGGTCATCCTTTTTTTATCTGAAGACTTCTTTGTGATAGCATGTGAAAAATAGGAAAATCCCTTATTTTATGTCTATCACAAATATTATTATCAAATTCAACATTGTTCTTAGTATTATTGTTATTGTCATTCCAATGCAAACAGGGTGCATTCATTCTCTGTTGTAAGTCATCAAAGAATAAAAGTTCTGCAAAAATATAATGGAGATGATAGTATTGGAACCATTTTTTGACTTACTATTTGACTTATAAATAGAGTACAAGGAAACTTTTTCTGAGAAGAAATGGTAAAAAAGCTAACATAATCATAACTTTGCATTTAATCCATTCTTTGCGAAGATTCCTGTCATCGGTAAAAAGTAGTTAGGTACAGTACTTCTAATCTACTCAGAACAGGGGAACATTGATATGAAGAAATACACAACCTGTTGAAATATTAGTAAAGACAGAGTATGCATGACCATTCCATCACTTGGTAATTTCAGTTGATACGTATTAGCATTTTCAAAAGTGGATCTATGTTTATTTTACTGGAATGTTTGTGGTGATTAACTCTCAAACTTGGTTGGCATAATGCCATGTAAAGCACAATAGATTAATTCAATTTTTTTTGGATGTCTAAAACAATTTCTGTTTGTATAGATGTTTTGCTTTTTTGGGAACTTGAATTAATTTTATTATGGTTCTTATAATAGGAATTAAACGGGTTCCAAGTAGTTCATTTCATTGATTGCATTTGAAATAGAGGCTAACTATTGAGTTGATACTTAGGTATGTCAGCATGTAGGTTTGGTTCATTAACTAACGGAATGGATATGAGTAAGAATGGAATGAAAAGCTTGATTAAACATTTGTTATTTTGCTATTTTATTGTATTTTTTATCCTTTTTTCATATGTCATTTTTTATTGGTTCTTTGGTATTTAATGGTACTTTCCACACAGTGGATGTTATTTAGTATCCTTATTATTTCTGTAAACTCGTGCTCCTTTATTTAAAAAGGAAAAACAAAAAATAAATGTGTGTGTATGTATTCATATCAGTCATCCTACTCTTTCTTTTTGTTGTACAAAGGAGACAAAGATATAGACAAAATGGGGCTTAGAGAGAGACGAATCAAATTTGAGAATCAATCTTCGTATCAACTTTAAAAATTTTGATGCTTTTATTTTATCTAACAAAATTTTTTTTGAGATAGTGTATTTTATTTTCACCGAGATTAATAGAACAAATGATTATTTTTCATTTGGATGGTTGATACAAGCATCTACAAATCTAGAGTTGAAGCAGAGAATTCCATTGTTCAATCTTCCCTCAAAATTTTTGTTAGTTATGTTCAGCTGTTGTTCAATAGTTTCAATCGAGTTTTTGTTTGGTTTCGATGATTAGTAATTGGTAGGATGGTTCCTCTTAAGAAACCCTTGTGGTCTATTTCATACACATCGATTGTTTGAGGATTGGAAAGACAACGTCATTGCTTCTACATGGTACCCATTTTTTAACTTAAGGGGCCTTTATATTATGTTTTTTATAATTTTCCTTACATTAGATTTTTTTTAACAACATTAGCACATTGATCAATAACACATTAACTTAGTTATGGTAACTTTGATTGAATAACAATCCATTCTTATTTAACTGTAAAACTTTTGTTCATATGTTGGTACAATTTACTCACAAATCGTTGAGATTGTGTTACGAGATATCATAAACCTTGGATCATTTTAATATTTGAACATTATTTGATTCAAGAAAGTAATTACCCCTTTCCCTTGTTTTCATTTGTGACAAAGGTCAAAATTCAATATTTTTAATATAACAACATATTTGGATGATTTTTATATACTAACACATATTAAATGTCGTATGTGATACAGTTTAAGTGGGGGGTGTCTTCAAGGATGAAGAGGAAGAAAGACAACTCCTGCTCTTGCATCACAATGAACGAATTATAGATCCCAGACTCTAATTACAGTGCTTACAGTGAAAGAGGACTACTTAAAATTTTCTATTCTTGGTAAAGATCGCAATGCACAATTATCTTCTGAACAAAACTCAAGCTATTACAAGCTGTCTTGGGAATGATTTTCAATTATTTGCCTTACTACTCTGTCTTCCTTATTGGTTTTTGGTAGTTTTTTTTTCACTTTAAATTTAATCTAATTTTTCATGATTTTTACCATTGGAATATTGTACTATTATTCTAATCAGGGATTGGAATTGTTTGTCCGAAGGATTGAAATCGTTAGTCTAACAACAACTTTTGCATTTACTTTTGGAACGTTTTATGGTAGACCTTTCTTCATAGTCTTCTTCTCAATGCCTTAGCTTTTTGTGATACGTAGTCTTATATTATATTAGTCCTTAGAATCAATGTATTTTGTGTTGTTATTCCTTTTCCATTTTCTGTGTGGGGTTTTTTAAAATCTTGCAATTTAAGGTTGTTTAACCACTCATTTTTTTCGGAAGGCTTAATCATTCATTTTTCTGTGGGTGTTTTATGTGTAGGAGGTAACTCATATCTGAAAAGAGGACAAAGGGGCATGGATTGTCGTGTTCAGTTTTGTTAGTTATCTCCGTTTCCCAAGTTTCAAGAGATAGTTATTTACCAAAGATAACAATGATCATTCTATATAGACATAACTATAGGGATGATTATTTATTTATGCTAGGGCCTATTAAGGGTTAATCATAACAGAACTCTTTGTAAAGAGTTCACGTGCAACAACTAGTGTTATATAAGCATGCTACTAGGGGCCACTCTCTACTATCCTTGGCATTCAACTTGTACATATCTTGTTAACCTTGGTCTTTCTAACATTCTTTGTTAAAACCTTTTGCCATTATATTTTCTGGCCACCAAAACCTTCTGCCACTTGTATTGCACACATACAATTATATTACTACAAGGATTTTTGTGTTTTGGGCTACAGACAATTTGAGTCAAATTCACCCTATTTTTCTAGTAAGTGTGAACATTGAGGAGATGATGCTACGAGCATCTGGATTAGATCTTGGAGTTGTTGGTGTCCGTGAGGAGGCTCAGCTATTTTAAAACAGTGATTACACACCTCTCAGACTCACAAGTTAGCTCTTTCTAATTTACAGTATTTATATTATTCCATTCTAAATTGATTTTTATTTTATGTTTGTTTATATATTTTTGTTAGTTTGTTATATTGATATTAATTTGTCAGTTAAAATTATGTATAATCATACTAATTTTCCCAACATAAAGTGTTAAGGCGAATTAGACTTGATTGATTATTTTAACTATGGTAGGAAGTTATTTTGTCATTACAATTAAAAGGTTAAGTGTTCACAATTATAGTTCAAAATCACATGAAGTTTATGTGGTTCTATCATCTTGTTTTCTATGATTTCTCATAAGCAAAAGAAAAATCGTAAGAAATCGCAATTACCCAAAATGGTCTGATCCACCTTCTTTTTCTTCTTCGCGAACCATACGCTAACCATAAAACTGAGCCTCCTTAAATCAGAAGCCCCGTGATAGAGAAGTGAAATGTTTCAATTTTCTCTAGGTTTGTAGAGATGGAATTCAGAGAAGCATCTTTTATATATGAGCAATGTTATTGAGACGTAATTTACTGACCTAATTTGTTTACTTAATTCATTATGACCTTTGGATTGACTGTGGGACCTATTAAACATTGGAATTTGATGTTGATTCAATAGTTCTATTGAAATCACATCATTATGTCAGCAAATTAAGTCGGATTTTTAGATTCAAATAGTATTATTCTTTATATATCCCTCATATTACATTGGTAGATACATTACATATTGTTGCAATACCAGTTTGGCTTCATTCATGAGACAGATTTCCATGAATGGTTATTTATTTCCAGGCTATCATCAGTCACCAAGCTAACCTTCCTGATCCTAGTCCTTCAGATCCTGCAAAACAAAAACACATGCACATGAGAAAACAAACGTGAAAACTCATTGTAACTTTCGGTACTTGCATAATACAAGATTGTCTCCTTCGAGTTACGCTTAGACAACTTTAAAACGTTTTGACAATAATAGTTAAAAATTCACACTGACCAAATCTAACCCTACGCCACACCCTGCAGTGGTAGGAGTATCTCAGACTGGGTTACCTTTTTTCATCAAACCTTTCACGCACACGCACAAGCACTCGCGCCCACTCATACTCACACTTCGTACTCAGATTTGGGATAAGGTTTTCACAATTATATGGATAGATGCCATCCAATACTTTAGTAGGAATGGAATAAGGCTTACTGATTATATTCGATCCTGATATTGCCGGCTTTAAGATCAGCAATCTTGGAGAAGGCATCTCGAGAGAGATTAATAGTTCCATTGCACTTTGAACAATAATCAACAATCTTTACATCTACAGTCGCGCCTGTGCAAGGTCTGGGAAATAAATTGTTGGCACCAGTGCATCTGACTCTATACCTTCTTCCACATGCTGCCCTATTGTTCCACAGGACGTTGCTTGCTCCGGCAACGTTCGAGTCACCATTTTGTTGGTTGGGGAAGCATGCCGAAGCTGCCAAAAATAGCAAGGCACTATTTAGGGGTGGTCTTATTGCACAATTCATGAATTCCACTATTTATGAGTCATTTCTTGTCCAAATTGCAAACAATTTGCTTGTCTCATTTAGAAAGTCATGAAAAAGATACCACTTATTAGGAATATACCAACATAACCTAGCTAGATTCCGGTATTCAATAACAACTGCACATAAAAAAGGCACAAGAAACAATAAACAAATTTTAGTACGAAAATCCGAAGATCAGAAAAACTATGGAGCCACACCTAGTCCACTATGAAACAAACAAAATACAATGAGAAATAACAAATATGCTGCTCTGCCGCATACCCCTAGGTTATAAAACAAGTGTTAATTGAATAAAAAATACCGTGTACCAAATAAGATCTAAAATTTTACCGATCATTTAGTATTGTTAGACTCCACATTATGTTATATCACCTTGTGCAACTAATTTAATCGAATTACATGGCAAAGCCTGCTCTGTACTCACGGTAATAAGGGGGATCATAATAAGTCGCAGACCCCTGGATGGCAGATACACCTGAGGCAAGGCATATCACTATGCCCACCATCATCAGAACTCTTGTTTGAACACCCATTTTCTCTTTCTTTTTTTCTGCTTCTAACACCTGAAAATATTTACCTTGTGCAAAACTAAGGGCTTTCCGCCTTTTATAGTGAAAAAATGCAAAAACAAAACTATAGGTCTTGGTCTTCCCTAGTTTTCCAAAGGCCCATGGAAATTCTACAAAGACTAAAAATAGTGAAAGGAATAAAACGTAAGTAAGATAATTAAATGAAAAATGGGTTGGTTATGTGACTGAGCAAGAGGGCGACTCGTAAATCACTACGTCACGAGTTCAAGTTTCACTTGTCGCACAAAATCAAAGAGCGGTTGTCCATGTTGGAAATTTTGCAAGACTCCATAATCGCTTGAGTGGCAACATATTTTCACCCTTTATTCTCGGTGGAAGACCTGGAAATTTTTCCAGTGGGCGTGGGTTGGGGGGTAAAACGAAGACACGGAATTCAAATGTTCTTAATTCTGGTATAATTGGAAAAATCCAATCCCATTCGCAAATTCCTGGAATTTGAGAAAGAGAAATTATGTGTCCACCAAAATTTTTATAAAATTTTTGTGTTATATTGATAGCCATTGAATAGTTAGTAAGAGTTTGTGAGACCTATTGATTCTATAATTTATATTAATTTGAGATTCAAAAATTAATAAAAAATTTATTGCATGTAACATTGTTATTTGAGAAATTGGGCTTGAGGAAAACAACTATAGAAAAGCCAACTAACTGTTTTTATGGAAAACTTGAAAAATCGTTGGAGACTGTGTGTTCAAAGTAGAGGAAGAGACTATTCGCGAAATAATCACAAAAATCGTCGTCAAAGTCAAAATTGAGTAGACACGTTTCACACGTACTGTCAAAATTGAATAGACACGTTTCACACGTACTGTTTCCACGATTATAACTTTGCCTAATTCCATCATTAGGCCTTCAAATGGAATACATCTTTAATTTATTAGCCTTACTCAATGATTTTCCATTTTAGGTGTGTTTGTCCTTTGTTAATACAAATACAATTTCTCTATACTCGTTATTGCTACGTTATAAAACGATAAAAAATAGGGAAAATTTTAGCCACACCCCCCTAATTTATCATAACTTCAAGAACACCCCCTCTAATTATCAAACACATTACTAGCACCCATTCTAGTTTATATTTAAATATCATTAACACCCCTATCATTAAACTACCATTTCTAACAAAAAAATAATTCATCTAAATACCAAAATGCCCCTATATAAACCTCAAGTAATTTTTTTGAATAAAATTTTATTAAAATTCTAACTGATTAATTTATTTTTTTCCATATTAAAATTTGAACCAATTAGAATTTGATTGAAGCTGATTAATTTTTTTTTTTTTAACGTATTTGACGGTGTAAATCAATGTAGTGTAAACTTATGGTAATGAGCAGATAGAATAATCAGTCTCTGACTAATAGGATATGAGCTGCAAGGCTCGAAAGAACAATCAATGGGAAATTGGGGGATTGACACGATAGAATTTATAGT